AGAAGGATGCAGAAGGTTGGTTGGATCTCGCTTGCCCATACCCCATCCAGGTTCCTGCCTGGAAAGTCCCAGAAGTGGTTGGAGAAGGACTTCACAATGCCAAGTGTCCTTGAGGTTCCCAAAATGGACGGCAACAATGTGTGTGTCCCTTTTTTCTTCTGCTCCCTACCACCCCTGGGGCAGAAAAAAAAAAGGGGGGGGGGTAATTAACCAGGTCATTAGCAGCAACATGAGATATGGACGGGACACCCGAACCCCAAAAGGCTTCAGGAGGAAAAGGAGGTCTTCGCTCTTCCCCGTGATCCTTTCCACCACTTGTACCTTTGTCGTATCTTCCACCCCAAAAACCAGGCAGGTGTGTCCCATCCTGCAGGTAACAGTGTGTCCCAGCTCCAGCCCAGCATGAGCCACACTCACTGGGGATCAACGAGGGTGATCTTGGGGGGCTCAGCCCTTCTCCTCACATGAGGGCAAAGAACAGGACTTCTCCTTGCCCACCGGAGCTGGGCCACGAGCCCACGGCACGTCTACCAGGAGCTCACAGCTTCCCTGGCCCACAGGCTTGGAGAAGGTCCTGCTGGGATCACCCTCCATGGAGCAGGGAGAGGAGCAGGGCGCTGGTCCAGGTTTGGCAAAGAGCTGAGGCTCAGGAGAAGAAGCGCCGCAGCTTTTTGGAGGTCCACGTTGGTCCTCGGGCACGGTGTTCCCCTAGCCTGAAGCTTCATCTGCTGTCAGTGGTGGCACGTTGGTGGCACACTTATGGCCACCACGGTTTGGCAACACCACGGCTGTGCTGGCCGCGCCGAGGCTCAGCCATCGCGGTGGACGCGTTGGTGCTGCAGCAGGTTGGAGGGGTGAGCGAACCCCTTGTCGCAGATGCTGCACTTGTAGGGGGTCTCACCTGTGTGCACCTTCTCGTGCACGGCCAGGTAGGCCAAGTCCTTGAAGAACTTGTGACAGAAGCTACACTTGTAGGGTCGCTCCTGGCTGTGGACACGGTGGTGCTGGAGGAGCAAAGAGGGTCGGGCGAAAGCCTTCCCACAGGCCTCGCACTTGTAGGGACGTTCCCCCGTGTGCGCCCGCTCGTGGATCACCAGGTAGGACGACTGTTTGAAGGCCTTCCCGCAGGTCTTGCAGACGAAGGGACGTTCACCGGTGTGGACTCGTTCATGAGAAGACAAAGCGTTGGATTGTTTGAAGCCCTTCCCACAGAGCGGGCAGACAAAGGGACGGTCACCCGTGTGCACCCGCTCGTGGACTTTGAGGCTGTGGCCGTAGGTGAACTTCTTCCCGCAGACGCCGCAGACGTGGGGTTTGTCGTCGCAGTGTTGGCGCTGGTGGAGGAGGAGAGCGTTGGAGGTGGGGAAGTCCTTCCCGCAGTCAGCGCACTTGAAGGGTTTGTCGGCGCAGTGGGTGAGCGCGTGACGCTGGAGCTCGTAAGGGGTCTTGAAGCTCTTGGCACAACGTGGACAACGGAAAGGACGTTCGCCGCTGTGGATTCGCCGGTGCTCTTGGAGGTTGGAGGAACGTTTGAAGCGTTTGCCGCAGAGCTCGCAACGGAAAGGACGTTCCTCCGTATGGACCAACCGGTGGCTTTTGAAGTCCGAGTGGCGTTTGAAGGAAGCCTGGCAGAGGTCACAACGGAAAGGACGTTCCTCGTTGTGTACCACCTCGTGGCTGAAGAGCTCCCAAGCTCGCTTGAAGGCCTTCTCACAGACCGCGCACTGGAAGGGCTTCTCATCCACGATCACCTCGCGGATCTCCAGCTCGCCGATGCCGCTCGCTCCCCGCTTTGGGTGGCTGGGCAGCCCCACTGCTGTCACCTCCTCCAGGTCACCCACCGCGCTCCCCAGCACCAGCTTGGCGGTGGAGTAGATCCCACGTTCATCGATCAGCTGTACAAAGTCCGGCTTGGGACGGGCATCATCGGAAAGGGACAACTCAGGAGAGCAAGACCGAGAGCCCCTCTCCTCCTCCTCGCTGCTCCGTGGTGTCTCCTCCAGCCCGTTCTCCAGCTCCCTCTGTCTGAAGTTGCCCCAGATCAACCGCAGCCTCTTCCCCCGGGAAGGTCCCGGTTCCTCAACGTTCTCCACCCGCACAGGGGATGTGGGGACCCGATTTGTCTCAGGTTTCAGACACAACTGGTGCTTCCGCCTGCATGGCCGCAGCTCCTCCGGCGCCTGGTGGCATGGTGAAGTCCCCTGGTCCCCACCAGTCTGCTGGCAGGACCTACCCACACCCCGAGGGGCAAGAGAACCCTGCCTGCGGCAGCACCGTCCTGAACGGGGCAGAGAAGTTTGTCCCAGCTGCTCCGGGAAACCTTCTCCTGGCTCTTCTCTTGGCTGCGTCCCGGTTGTGTCCTCCTCCTGAACTTCCTCCTGTTCTTCTTCACCTTCAGGTCCATCTCCTTCAGAAAGCCTCTGAGAAAAAGCGGGCTCAGAGGATGGAGGATCTGACTGCCCTTCCATGGTAGACTCTGCAAAAATGAGGAGAGAACATGAGAGGAGCACCAGGCTGGAGCAAGATGGTGAGGGAGGAGGCGTGGAGATGAAGATCTGGGTGGAAGAGGAAGGTCAGAGATGGAGATGTACAGGAAGGGAGGGAGACTTCTACGTAGAAGCTCCTCAAGGTCACTGAGAAGTTTTAGGGTTTCACCACCTGGAGCTTGGCTACGTAGAAGCTCCTCAAGGTCAAGGGGGTGTTAAATGGGAGAGGAACAGAACAGAGGAAGACTTCTTGATGGCCAAGATGGATCCACCACCACCAGATGGTTTCAACTGAAAGTGTTCAGAAGAACCTGCTCTTGAGGAAGGGATCAAAACAACATCCATGGACCTCCCAAGCCAAGACTTGAGAGAATCCCAGACTGGTTTGGGTTGGAAGGGACCTTCAAGCTCATCCAGTCCCAACCCCCCTGCCATCAGCAGGGACACCTTCCACTAGACCAGGTTGCTCAGAGCCTCAAAGAGGCTTCTGAGGTTGCTCAAAGAGGTTCAACCCAAGACAATGGTCCAAAAAACCCCCATCTTACGTGCTCCTAAAAGGCAGCAGGAGAGACATTCCCAGGAGCAGGAGCGAGCGCGGCGCCGGTGGGAGCGGGTGTGGAGGTGACCGGGGGACGGCGAGCGGCCATTCTGGAGCCACGGGGACGGGGACGACCCAACGGCCTAAAAAATAGAAAAGGGGAGAAAAAAAGTGTTGGGAAAAGAGAAAAAGTAACGTCTCCCAGTTTGCCCAGTATCACCAGTGAGCGTGGGATGGGCAGGGTAACCCCAACCCAGTCCCTCAGCCAGAATAGCCCAGTTAGTCCCAGTAAGGACCAGTTTTACTCCAGGATCAATAAAGGATCCTCCCTTGGAACAAATCCTGGTATCAACCGCTCAGGAACACCACATGCCCTCCCAGTATGTCCCAGTGCCCTCCCA